GGATTGAGGCAAGGCCCCCAGAGACTAGTTGAAGGAATCCTGGAACTCTGATTAGTTTTAGTCTTCCAGCTTAAATGTAGAGCTTCCTTTCTCCACTACTGATAGCCCAAGTGGCTCTCTGTCCTACCCACCCCTCCACCCCCTTTTGCTTTAGGAACAAGATTATCACAATGCGGCYTTGTGAATCAATTTTCTCTCTGTGCTGATGAAAGTGTAATTCATTCTTAATCAAGCAGCCTTGCCGCTGCAGGCTCCGTGCCGGAATACATTTAGTTACCCTCCCATCACTTTGGGAAACAGTCCCCTAAAAGGACTTTTAGAGGAGAACTAGAGGAATTGGCAGCCCGCCAGCACTGTGGGTCTCCAGCAGGGGGCACTCTTAGGAGCGATTTTTAAGGAGCTGTGCTTCCACGTGGGCCACCAAGAAGGTGAGAGTGCTTGTCACAGATACCTTCCAGGCTTGCTGTCTCCAGGCCCTGGGGACATTTCTCCAGAGCATCTTGATGGGCTGCTGTCACATAGCAGTGAGCAAGAGCCGGCTGCATCAGATTGCATGCCTGGGTTAAGGAGACCCAGCTGGCGACCAGGTCCTCTTCTAGGGCTGGGAGGAGCCGGCCTCCTGACTTACAAGGAGACAGATTTGTCTCCTGAATCTGAACTGGTTTAAATTGGGTGTAAGGGCCATTTTTGTCTATCACATAGTTTGTGGAACAAAAGGAGGCCTTGATCTGCTGAGTGGCTTCCTTTCCTATTCTTCCACAGCTTGGCAGCTGTCACAAACAACTGGTTGTTTGATGGAGCAGAAGGTAGGATGAAAAGTGATTGTGACAGGGTCAAGTCTGTGGATGCTGGGCAGGAGGTAAGAGCCAGCCTCGCAGGTGGATCAGAGGCCCCATAAGATTAAAAAAAAAAAAAAAAAAGCCCTATAGATCTGCCACAAAGGAAAGGAAGTCATTCTCTTCAGAATGGACTTGGATTAGTGACAGACTTGAACAACTGGTTCCGTCAAGAGAGGACTTAATTCCTCCTGTGTTATTCACATGGCTGATTCTAATCAGATGTGAAGAGACAGCTGGAAGAGAGCAGCAGGTCAGCCTGGGGCCTGGTGAGAGATTTGGTGTTCTTTTAGTCATCTTTAGGAAACTGGCAAGAGCACTTTGGGTTGGAGACTTTGAGCAGGATCCTCATGGTTTACAGTCTTACCAAAGGAGCAGGGTTTGACTGCTAGGCCTCCCATGGTTGGATTTGACTATGAATTCTGAAGGACAGTGCTGGGAGGACATGGTCACCATTCATGTGCAGCAGAGCTCTGCTCACTTCTCAGAAGGAGTCGAAGGAGGTCCATAAGACCGGGAGGCCCCACGGATGCAGCCATTGTCAACTGGATCCTGGTTGTGTATCTGTAAGCTGAGGTCRTTCTTTTCCCTAATTGCTGAAATGCAAAGACCTCTTCTGGGTGACCTTCTAGATACACTGCAGTGTGCACATAGAGCCCACTTCTGCCTGGAGACTTCCCCCCAGCAGGCAAGGCTGGGAACAGGCAAGCTATTGCTGTGTTGCCAAAGGGAACACAAACGTCTTTTCTTGAAATTCTGGTGACAAGTGGGACTCATGGGGCTTCTTCAGTTCTCAACTCACAGTGCAACATAGGACAAGGTGAGGGCCTTCGCAGGATCATCTCCATGGTGTCTTGTGGCTCTGTCAAGCAGAGATGTTGCTGTGTTGTGCAGAGACAGCCAGGCTGGCCACCAGGCAGTAAGACAGACTAAGTATCGCCATGGGCTGGTGAATCTTGGAGTGCAAGAGCCACAGGGAAACCAAGAAGCTTTTTTTTAGCTGGTTTTTTTGAGTGGAAGAAGAAGACCCAAAGTTTGTTTTGTGCCATTTTCTCTGAGTCTTTGCTTTCTCTTTTATGCTTCTGCTGCAACTCTGCTGTAAATGTGACAGTAAGCTTTCCAGAACAGACCCTGCAGTGGCAAAGGCTCCCACAGGTGAGGGGAGTSCCCTGCAGGGAGCACAGTTGGCAGAAGCAGTGGGCAGTGGTGGGAGGGAAGGGGCTCCTGAGTTATCTGGAGGAAAGAGGCCCAAAGCCTTTCCACACAGAACCTCATGTCGCTGCTGCCTCCCCCTGTGCTCTCCTGGTCCTGCCAGGAAGAGGGCATTTGATGTCTAAGATGAAGAATGCTGTGGGGGGAACTAGGCAGAGGCCATGGGGGGGCCTGGAAGGGTTCCTAGCCCTGGGAAGTAAGCGCATATTATGAATTCCTCAGACGTTGGGGTTCCTAGTGGAATTGGAAATTGCCAGAACTTGGAAGATGGGGGCTGCAGCAGCCAGGTCTGCCTGTGGGTGGGAGACTCTCCTTGCCCTCCGTCTGCCACCCTCAGTGACCCATGATGCCATGTCTGAGCCACCTYTGGCCAGTGAGCCTAACAGCCTCAGGACCTTATGGACAACTGTGATGCCCTCTCTCTCTCTTGCATGGTCAGAATATCAACTTTACTGCAAGCCTTTCCTTTCTGTGAAGCTGAAGACAAATTCCTGGTCTGGCAAGAGAAGAGGTGGGCTGAGCCCTGCCCTGCCCTGCCCTGCCCTGCAGCAGGGGTGGACACCGATTGGGAAGTGGCCCGCCCACCAAAGAGCGCTTAGCCTCCTAACAAGCACATGCTTGAGTAACTGGAATCTGGTGCTGCCAGCGCTGCCAAAACCCTCCCCTGGCACCTCGAGGGGACAGCCAGCACACTCTCTGGTAGAGGATCCAGGAATTCTTGGAGCCAGCATTGTGCAAACGGACAGGAGGCTCTCGGAGGCCCCCACAGCCTGGGCTCCCTGCCTGGGGAAGTAGCCAGGCCTCTGGGGCAGCGCCTGCCCTGTCTCAGAGGCTATGACCCTGCCTTTGCCTGCAGCCCTTCCTGACAAGCACTCTGCTCTGCTGCCCCCGGGAGGAGAGGAGCCAGCGCTGGGGGAGGGAAGGAACGTGATGCTGCTATTAGTAATAACAGCTGCCAGGCTCTCAGCACGTGCCAGGAGTGGCGCTGAGAGCTTCACAAGCGTTTTCCAGTTCCCTGCAGGTCCTCTGTGAGGAAGGGCCTGCCACACCCTGCATGTGCTGGGAACTGAGGCCAGAGGGATTCAGTGACCCACCCAGGGCCACCCAGCTGGTCAATGGGCCACATGGGCCTTGGGTCAACCGTGCTTATGTTTGACTCAAAGAGGCTGTGAGCATGGCTTTGTCCCYTACAGGGCCTCTGCCCCCTAAGGAGCCTTCTGAGGTCTTCTCAGAAGTGTGGGGGAAGCCAGAGTGGAAATGTGGGTACACACCATTTGATTCCAACCCTGAGCTGAGAGGGGTTTTGTCCCAGAAGTTCTCTGGCAATTGAATCTGTCTTTCTGGTTACCCTCCTGGTTCCCATTATCACGGGGCACACAATTTCTGGCCCTTCTCTGATGGCACTGAGGGAGAAGCCCGTCCACACGCAGCTCCCTTCTGGAGTGAGTTCCATTTCAGCAAAGAAAAGCTGTCTCCATTCCCATCAGAACTGGGCTTCCAAAGGGCTTCTGGAATTGGTTCCACTGAAGGAAACGGCTCAGATGCTCCCTGCATTCCGCTTGTTAGTCGGGAACTTCAAGGCCAAAAGATTTGGCAGGATTTAAAGAGTCGGCTCTCAAGCTGTCTCATTTTGAGCTCGCTAATGCTGCCTGTCTTTTGATGGTGAAGTGGTTGGTTTGGAGTCTCCCTCCCGTGCCCTTTGTAGAGCCCTGGGTAAGACTGAGGGCTCTTCAGATTTGGAGACGGCCTGAGGTTGGAGGGTGAGGAGGGCATGACCAGCTAGCCTGCCCCATGGCTTACTTCTGAATAGAGAGACTCAGAGGTTAAGGGTGTTCCCTGGGGCCCCCCAGAGAGCTGAGGGTGGAGCGGGTTCGCCTGGGCCTTTCTCAGCTCCTTGCGGAGCTCCTGCCTTCCCCCTGTCTTGCCACTCATCTGTCATTACGATTCACATCATTCACTCAACATGCTCTGCGCTCCTACCCAATGCCACGCACTAAACTAAACGTTTTGGGGATATGAAGATGGACTCCCTGCTGTCCCTTTGCCATCTCTCCTATGGAAAGTTCTGGAGCTAAATCTAGAATGCACGGTCTTGCCCCAGTGGGTCTATTTCAGGAGCAGAACAGGGCATCAGGAAGACACTTGTGCCAGATCCTTCTGTTTGGGGAAAAGGCTACCAAGTGGCCTCAGAGTCAGGGACTCAGGAAGCACAAACTCTACCATGAGTGTGGCTCCTGATCCACCTCTCCCCTTCTGAACTTCTCTGACGCCATTCTTCTTGGGCAGTGTTCTTCCTGGGAAGGCCTGACAGTTGATGGCCAGAATGCTGCCCATATACACTGTGCCCCCTGCCTGTCCCACATGGGGAAACTGCTGCCTCCGTGCTCATCAGGAGACATCCCTCTCAGCTCCTCAAAGCAAGTCTGCTTTGAGGCCACTAGGAGCAGAAGGGACAAGCCCTTCCTTGTCTAACCCGGGCCTGCCTTCCCCAAGTATGGGTTACCTTACCTGGGAGTCAGGACTGAGAGGTTTGCCCTGCTGAGCTGGGTCTTCCTGGTCCAGAAATGATAAGAATCCCAGGCTGGTGTTGCTGTAGATACCACAGAGGTGACGTGTCAGTCTTTTGTAGACAAGAATATATGAGAATCTGGTAAAATATCTAGGGACCCTTATCTTCTATGAAATGGCAACACTGATGACATTTTCTTGCTAACATGGCTTCTGCCCACCATCCATGCCTCCTGGCATGTCCTCCTTTGTCACCTAATTTGAAAGCTGGGGCAAGTCTGGAATCCTATTTGAACTTGACCACCAGCCTCGTGAACGTCTCCTTGAACAGGCCTCCCCGTCACTCCAGACCACCTTTGAGGTTAGTCCGTGCAGCAGGAAGGGATCCCACATAAAAGGACAGAAACACACTGCCCCTTTCACTTCTTCTCTGCTCTCTTACAGCTCACTTTGCAGAGTGCCAAGTCTCGAGTGGCCTTCTTTGAAGAGCTCTAACAGGTGACCGGGCCACCCCAGGATCTGCCACTTCTGCTGCTTCTGGCACCACGGGATGGGTCCAACACCATGGAAACCACCCCTAGGGGCTACCTGGGGGCTCCTGTGGGAGCTCCAGAATTTCCCCCAGCTTAGTGGAGAGCCCAGCCCCCTTCATGTGCAATTGCCTTTGAACTACGACCCTGCAGAGATTTCTCTCATGGCGTTCTAGTTCTCCTGACCTGCGACTTTAATTTTTTTGAGAAGTGTTTGTCCTTTTTTGTCTTATGTGGGATCCCACACTTCCTCTGTTCCAGCACCATGGTGTGTGTGTGTGTGTATGTGTGTCTCTGTCTGTCTGTCTGCCTGCCTGCCTGCCCAGCGCTGACCTCCAGAGCCTTGTCTGGGAAATGGTTGTAGGGAGTGAAGTGCAGAGGCCGCCTGGAGGCCAGGAGGCTAGTCTTGCTACTCCACCCTGCCCAGGGTTCCGGGACGTCCCTGCCCTCCACAGGCGAGGACCTGGCACAGTGAAGCAGTAGGCCTGGCTGTGCCGGGGGCCCAGAGCAGCCTGTTGCCACACGTCAGCCTGAAGCTTGGGACCCGCAAAGCGATGAGTCCTCAGCGAGGCAGCGCCGAGACAGTGCCGCTGCCAGCTGCTGGGACCGGCAGGCCAGCTGCGACTGGGGAGACTCGGGGAAGAAGCTGTGATGAATGGCCACCAGCCAGCCGAGCGACTGGGAGGCAAATAGAGCGGTGTAGGGATCTGACGGTACAGTGTTCACTGCCCCCACAGCCACCCCAGCCCTGGTCAGAGAGGCAGGTGGGAGCCACATGTGTCTTCCCCGTCCCCCTGCCTATGGAGGATGGGGGGCTTCCTGGTCATGTTCTCATCAGTGCCTGGAACCCCAGGCATGACCAGGAGTGTGGGGGGTGCTCCATGAGCTCCGAGGCCCCACAGGTACTTCTAGCTGTCCTAACACCACGCTTCAGAGCCCCAGTCCTCCTGCCTCACCCCTCCTCTAGGCCACATGCCAGCAGGACCTTCACTTATACCTGGGCTTCATTTTGCTGTTTCTCTGTCCCCCCCCCCACTGAAGCCCCTTTATTTTGTGTCCCCTTGAGGGCCCAGCGAGGTCTCTCTCATCCCTTCCAGCTGGCGCCTGACTCAGGTGTCCACTCGAAGTCGGTGCTCACACAGGTGCCTGGCAGCACTCACTCCAGGGTCTGGGGCCACCTCGGATCCTTTTCTCCATGACTCCTGTTGCAGCTGAGGCCAACCAGGGCCCTTAGGTCCTAACACCTGGGCCTTAACGCAGGGCAGGTGATATGTCTTAATCAGGGAAAAGACACTTATTAACTGAAGACAGATGAGGGCCTCGAGATGTCCCGAGGGCAGAGGCCATCTCAGGTGATTCCATTTGGTTTTGAGAAACTGAGACTCGCTCGTGAGATCCGGCTTTGTTTCCACTGTCAGGCTGATCTAACAAGGTCCTGGGCTGGCTGCCCCCTTCTTGAGCCACCTTGCCCCTAGGAAACCAGCTCTGGGCACTCAGGGAGGGACTCCAGTCTAAGAATCTGAAAGCAGATGGCTGTGGCAGATAGGGAGAGTCCTCAGGAGCTGAAGCCTTGGGCATTTGCAAAGTCAGGTCCGGCTTTTGTGCCTGGCTCTGTCTTCTTGGGTGTAAAACCCATCCCTGAATTTCTACCAGGACTTACTTTCCTCCCGATCTGTAAATTTAATCTTTAACAGTGGCTGTGGGGCACAGGAGCATGATAGTCGTTTATAAAAATGATGTCGGGCTGTGTTTTTTAATTTAACTGCTGTGTGTATCTCTGAAGTCCAAGAAATGCCAAGCCATGTGGCCACGCTGAGCTATGGCCACCTGGGGCCCAGCTGACCCAGGAAGGAGGGCCTGCCAGTGACGCTAACAGCCAGAAGCCCTTCGGCCCTCTCTGGAGGGAGAAGATGGGGTCCTCAGAATGTTGAGCCCCAGTAGAAGGAGAAAGAATGAGAGCAGTGCTTGGTTTTCAGAGACTTGTGCCTTAGCCGAGGTGACTGTTCTGTCTAGTGAGTTTTTGTTTTTTGGTTTGTTTAGGGGGGGTGGTCTTTTTGGTGCCGGGGATTGAACTCAGGGGGCACTGGACCACTGAGCCCCATCCCCAGCCCTATTTTGTATTTTATTTAGAGACAGGGTCTCACTGAGTTGCTTAGCCCCTTGCTTTTTGCTGAGGCTGGCTTTGACCTCATGATCCTCTTGCCTCAGCCTCCTGAGAGTTTTTTTGTTTTTGTTTGTTTTGGGTACTGGGAATTGAATCCAGGAGTACTTTACCACTGAGCTAAGTCCCCAGTCCTTTTTTGTTTTTCTTTTGAGACAGGGTCTTGCTAAGTTGCCAAAGCTGGCCTCGAACTTGCAATCCTCCTGCCAGAGCTTCCTGACTCTGGGGTTACAGTCGTGTGCCACCACGCCTGGCTCTGGTGAGCATTTTGTAGAGCCTGGGAGCTTGTCAAGTAAGGAAGTCTCGGAAGTTCATAGAGAGCAAGGTTCTGGCCATGATTATTTCACTACCAGTGCTTCTGGTGGCTTTTAGGCAGAAGTGCCACCAATACTGAAAGCAGTCGTGAAGTCACTGCCCAGCTCGGGACTCTGTGAGGTCATGCTGTTGGCCCATAGCCATTCCCACATGTTTAATTGAGGCCCCACCTCAGCCACAGCAGCACTCTGACCCGTGGTCACCCCCCATTATTCATGCACCTGCCAGGCCTTGCTAGACAACGCCCTGTGGCATTACATAACATTTTGTGAGTGACTGTTCTGTCATCTAGGGGACAGGTTTCTCGCTCTCCTTCTCTTTTTCAAAAGTCCAGAGGCTGACAACCAGCGACAGTGACTAAGTGTTCCTCCCTGACAGGGCTGGGGCCTCACAGCCCCTGGCGGAGCAGCCTTGGCAAGGATTCAGCCTCTCCCAGTGGCCCTGGGGCCAAGCCGGCCCTCGTGGGATTCCAGGGACGCTGCATCCATTTTCAGAGATGTCAAGCAGCACTTCTTCCTGTAGGGCCTGACTCACACCTCCTGTCAGGACCAGACCTTGGAAGGCTTTTTCCTATTCTGGGGACTATTGTAATTTAAGTGATTGTTTTAATAAAAATTCTAAGCTCTAACAGTTTGTCACGGGCTTCCTCGGTTTGCTTGTCGCTCAAACTATTGAGGTGGCAAGACCAGGGCTGGGTGGTGGGGCCTGCTTTTGTGGTTCCATGAGGACAAGAGCTGTCTTCCCTCCCCCCCCCCCCCCCCCCCCCCCCACTGCCCAGATTTCACCTCTGGCTCCTCTTCTCTGAGGGCCAGGGATCACCTGCTTGTGGCATCGTCTCTAACAACCCCTTCACCTAGGGACTCTTCCTGTGGATCACACTGAGGTGTGGGAAGGGCCCTGCTTGTCCTCAACTCCAGACCTGAGAATAGGGCACTGGAGTGGGGAATCCCTCTAGGCACTTCTGCTTCTAGGGTTTATAACTCTGTGCTCTGGAAAGTGGGGGACACATAGAGCCATGAAGACCCAGGCACCATCTGTAGGGTGGCAGAGACTTGGCTCCTGTTACAGGGCTACCCAACATCTGCACTTGAAATTGGGAACCATCCCTGAATGCAGAGCTTATGTTTATTTATTTATTTTTTAATCAACAAAAGTCTGTTATTAAGACCAAAACTATCATTGGATAACTCTCCAAATCACTGCAGCCTAAAATCAGAAAGCCAAGTGGCTAATGTGATTATCAGTATTTCGAGGAGACCTTTCTGTCTCTTGTAAGAATATATTTCTAATCATTCAAGCCAAGGAAAATAGCCCGTCAAAATATAGTCACATGGCACCTAAAGTTGTGGTCAGTGACAGACCACATATTCCACAGTGATCCCATGAGATTATATGGTCTAGTGATGTCTTTGTGTAAGTGTACTATGCTCACACATTGACGTGAACCACCTAATTATAAATTTCTCAGAATGTGTCTCCATCTTTAAGTGATACATGGCTGCATACAAAATATTCCCCAAATGTCCTTGTTAAATATTATTAGTTTTTAAATCTACTTTGAAAATATCACTAGTTTTTGACATATATTTTGGAAATATATATAATTAGAGAAATGTAAAACAGCAATACGTTGTTAGGTTTTAACATATAGAGTTAGTAATTATTAGATAAATAATAACAGAACTTTCTCACATGTAAATTGTTATTTTTAATAAGTGGAGGTAGTCCTGATTTCTTTGTGGTCAAACCAGAGAAAGCACTTTGTACATATTTGTTATTTTAGGTTGTCCTGATAACATTTTTTCCTAACCCTTTTTAAAAAAGACAACCCTGACCCTCAAAAGACATACACGGAGATCCCAAGGTCCCTATTAAGCAGGATTCGAAATAACAACACTGCCAGGTATTTGGGTGTTGAGGAAGTGGGTTGAGCTCTGCTGGTGTTTTTAGTTGAGTATGATCGTGCTCTGAACGCAGAGCTGCTGGCCGGACCTGAGCGCTTCCTTGTGGCATTTGCAGCTGGGTCCCAAGGGATTCCCCCCACCCCCTTCCGTGGCTCCTTCTGACCTCCCTGCCAGTGCTTCCTCCTTTGTCTTGGGCTGTGCCTGAGTGGGGAGTGCCTGGCAGCTGCTCCCCAGGGCTACCCGCCCCTGAAGCCTCCCTGTGGAGGAGAGGATAAGGAGCCACCCACGTGTAATGAGGAGCTGGCAGCCCAACTCTGGGGGGAAAGGTACCCGGAGAAGATTGCTGCGACTGTGTCTAATCCAATCTCGCCGTCTGGGGACGAGAAAGACAAGCGTCTGCATATCCCCCGCTCCCTCTCAGACAGCCCAGGCAGCCTCCTCTCCTCCAGGGAGAGAGGCCAAGGGCTCCCCTCCCCTCCCAGCCGTGCGGGGCTCCCTGGCAGCCTGTCATTACTGCATTACAGCAGGATCCTGCGGCCGCAGTCCCAGCGCTGCTGGGGAGACCGCAGTTGGCTTGCAGGGAGACAGCTCTGGCGGCCCTCGAGGCTGAGACAGGGCAGCCCAGACAAATGACAGGGCCGTTTATCAGCACTGCAAGGACTCCATCTGACTCAGAGCGGGTCCCCCACCGTGTCCTCTCCCGGTTTCCACTTGATGCCCATTTCTCACTGGGCTGGTGGCCTCAGAATAGCGCCTGGCATGTTGCCTCTGAGTCGAAATCAAGACACCTCCTGAGAACTCCGCAGTGGGAGCCCCAGAGGCTGCTCAGCCTGCTACTCCGCTAAGCAGCTCCGAGCTGCATGGCTCTCGGCCAAGGTGGGGACCTGGCCCTGTCTTCCCCCAGGGCCACACTCTGCCCTCTCAGTAAAGACGGTTGACAGTGGTGCCTCTGGGTGTCTTGGGGATGTTGCCAGAATAACATGAAGAACTGAAGCAAAAAGTACTTCGATTTCCAAGAAAAAGAGGGTGTGGATGTGTAGCAGCACTGCCATTATTTACAAGTGACAGGCAGCTAGCACAGGAGACACCAACTCCACCACCAGCTGTGGATAAGCTGGGGAACTCAGGGCCCTCCTGGACTTGGAATTCAGACAAGCCCAGGTTCAAATCCCTGCTTGGCCACTTACCAGCCCTTTGAGTCTAGGCAAGGTACCCAACCTTAGAGCACTGCAGTTATCTCATCTGTAAAATGGGAATTTTAGAAGGTTTCATGGAGGTTAATAATATCTGGAAAGCTCTGAGTACAGTGTTTAGACACATGTCCCTACTCTCAGCTGTGGCTGTCTCTAAAAACTTCCTTTTGGGATCAGGGGTAGAAGGRCGCAGAAAAAAAGAGCCACAGTGACCAAAGGATATCACAGCTCAGAGGGACTAGGCCCACCCACCGTCCCCATATGGGCCCCCATCCTACCACTTGTACCTGGAGCTTAATGAACCTGCATCTGGCCTGTTTGTCCTTGCTGTTTGCCCAGTGCCAGCTGCAAAGGCCAGGAGATGATAGATAACCCTGGACAGGGGCAACCCGGGAAGGATGTTCTTGTTTTGTCACATTAATACCCTCTGCTTGGGTCAATAATTTACTGGAGGCTCAGGATGAGAGAGGAGCTGGGTGGGCCACACTGGACTCTGCACACGGAGCTCTTCCCTGCACCCGTGGGTACCTGGGCTGCAAAAACCCAACTGCAGACACCAGGGAGGCACAGCGGTGACCTAATTTTCTCTTATCAAGCATAAGAAAGAAGTCCCCGTGGAGCCTTGCCCATTTCCAATATAAATAATGTAATTCCCCCGCCTGCCTCCTCTGGGGAGGAAGGGGCAGCCTTTGATCTGAAGGAATTAAGTCAGTAAACAAAAGCGAAGAAGGCTGCGGAGGTGTCTTGTGGCTGGCACCTGCTCTACCATTCACCCTGAGAGTGAGAGAAGTTAAATTGAGTCAATGGGGGTAGCCCGGYCTGGGCCTCCCTAAGTCTCCCTTTATCCTCAGCAGAGCCCAGGCGACACCCTGCCCAGTCCTCRATGCACATCTGCTACAGCCAAGCCACACACGGAGTCTCGCTATTAGCAACAGCAGCCTTCCCTTGCTGGGGTTCTGCACATTTTTCAGGCGAGGATGACGCTCAGAGAGGCATAGGCGATGCACAGCTTAGCCCTAGAGCCCCAGGGTGGAGAAGGGCTTCACGCTGGGAGAAAGGGCCCCATGGCCGGCAGAGCAGCCCTCCTGCCCCTTTAGCTCGTCCTTCAGGAGAGCTGGCCACAGGGGCTTCCGGTTCCCCCAGCTCCTGCTTCCACTGTGTGGCCTTAAGTCCTTTTCACTCTCTGGACTTTCATGCCTCAGTGGCAGAAGGTCAAGTTTGAACCAGAAGAACTCCAAGGCTCCCAAGTTCCAACTCTACCATCTGTCTCCCCAGGCCCTCTCAACCCAGCATCACCCTCTGGGAAACAAAAGGGGGTTACCAGCCCAGGACCCCAGGGGGGTGGCCCACAGCCACAACCAAGAGCTGGTGCCTTTAGGAACAGCCAGCCTGGCCTGTGATGGCAGTCCCCTGGGGCCCCGCTCTACGTTCCTCTGGCACAGATTGGGGAAGGTCCCTGGTGGCACCAGCCCCTGGCTTAATAGGAAGGTGCCAGGACAGGGGGTTGGCATAGCT